AACAAAGAAAGACGAAGTTTTTTGTTGTAATCTTGTTATATTAGTCATATAGCTTTCACGATTTCTTTAGTCTCTCCTCCTCTCTTCTACAAGAAGGGGGGGAAAAAATGGACAAGCTAAAGACAGTAGCAGCCAGTACTACTAGGTCAGCACCGCTGCGACCACGACACCCTTTGGTCCATCGCATCAATACAATCGTAAATGTTCCTAACCCGAGAATCGTCAACATCTTTCTCATAAGCAGTTTGGTCACATGTTGTTCAGGCTTAGCTTTTGCCTTGGATTGATTTTATATGATCTATTCTAGACCTTTTGTACGAAAGTCTATGATAATTGGTTTTTTTTTTTCATTTAACAAATGTAAATTTGTCAAAATGCGATTCTCGTTCGATGTGACTCCTCTCGAGTCTCTTGTTCCTGGTATTCGCCACGTGTCATAGTGATTCCACCCAATAATGGGGATAATATAACTGGACCCCACATGTAAGTCAATTGTCAATCTAACGGTTGTACTTGGAACCACGTGGAGCGATCGGCGGAACTGTCGCGAAGTTTTAGTTTGGTTTGAAAAGTGAAGAACTGAAGATAAGAGAGATGTAGGGTCACGTCTAAAAAAAAAAAAGAGAGATGTAGGGTCCACTAACCTATACATTTGTATTTATATGATTTTTAAGTAAAAAGCTTAAGCTACAATTTTTGTTCTTTTTCTAATTCGTATTTACGAATTAGATTTTGGATTTACATTTTTGTGTATGCACATGGTCATAGAATTCCTACTCTACGTAAATAAGGAAAACGAATATGGCCAAAGTTGTTGTTGAAATTGTTCTCTCTCTCTTTTCAAAGTTTTTTTTTCCTTTTTGTCAAAGTTGTTGAACGTATTGAAAGAGAAGTTAATAATCTAGGTTTTGGATTAAATGTGCTTACCAAGAGTAAATTCGTTTTATATAAGAAAAAGTAATATTCCAAAAACTTTGGATGTGCGACCAATGGTTATGGATGTTTCAGCATTTGCATTTGTTAAAGTATTATAATTACGTGATGAAATAAAATATACGAATTTCTCGCATGCTAAAACAGTTTTCCTTAGTTTGTGAAATGAATTACAGGAAAAGATTTGCTTGTGAAATTATATTCGTAAGAAAAAAAACAAATTTCTTTATGTTCAAGAACAAGGTCCCACTTAATATTAATCTGATAATTATGTTTTGGCCCACACTTGGATCGGTGGATCATTTCCATTGCATATACAAAAGTACATGGTCTCTCAATTTTCTTTTATATAAATCGTGGTTTGATTTTGAAACGTGCATCCTAGTTAGTTTCTTTTATAGACGTTGTTCGGTTTCTGTTAATTAATGGTAACACGATATTCATGATATGACTACGACTTAATCCACGTGATTTACACCTTAATTACGACTTTCCATTATCCAGTTCACACGGAGATCTATGTGTTATCATTTGTTTGGAACAATGAAAGTTAAGAATAAATAAAACACTTTCCATTATAACTTTAAATTTCAAAATCAGTAGACACAAAACATTCATTTAAAAACAAATCATGGGTTTAGCCACTTTTTTTTTTTCACCAACACATTTCATCTATTGATTATCCGAATACAATTGTATGTGAAAACTAATAGGAGACATAAATGCTAATACTAAAGGAAACTAAATTCATTTGACGAGCGCTCGTAGCGAGTACATCCACCTTGTCATTCTTATCTCTGGGACAATACGCCAGGTAAAAGCCGGTAAAATAAGCTCGTAGCACCTTTAACTCTTCTATTTGGATTTAAATTTTGATCAGTTATCCGGTTCTTCCACCCCTATCTTGGACCATATAAAATTTGTATATAAAAGAACCGTGTTATATAGTACAAAGTTATTAGTTCAGTAGATATGTATGACTATAAGTTGTATATTGTCTTTTCATCCACGTTAATTCATGTTTTAATTTTGTAACCATTATTTGTACGTGATGAATAAAATATTAGAACCAAATAATGATATGGAGATATTTTACTATAAGAAACATGGAAGGAGGTGGTTATAGGAATCAATATTTTATTTGTAGTGTGGTGGGGCTCATGCAATTAAAGGCAAATGAATATACTTATATTGATGGCAAAAATAAAAGGTTAAAAAGAAAAACAAAGACTCATGCAAACTCACTATGATTGGTTATTAATATTTTTAGGTTTCTATTTTACTTAAACCTTTGGAATATGTTTGCAGTTTTGCACCAATTAATTTCCTAAAACCAGGTATTAAATCGGTAGACAGATCCTACATTTATCTGTCAATTACTTCAACTTACAATTTCTAGCATCATTTTTGTTGAATAATAAGTTGTAGACAAATAAATTCGGAACAAATCTTTGAGTATGGCGGTCCATTACATATTAATTTAACAAATATACACGTAAGAGGCATAAAAGGAAATACAAAGAATGGCTTTTTACATAATGCGGAGACACATGACGTAACAAGGACAGAATCTTTCGTCTTAGCAAAAATGTCAAATGTGGTCGGAGATCGGAATACAATCGAAACTCAATCCATATTCAAATCATCTAAAATCTATCTATATCATAAATAATTATTTTTTCCATTTATTACCCTTTCATTTTTTATGACAAACAAAGATATCCTTACTTTAGATTCTGAAACGTTTTGAACACTAAACAAGATTAGTTGTTGTTGTTAAATGATACTTTAAATGATACTCTCTCCGTTTATTAATATATGATGTTTTGACTTAAAATACGAAATTTTTAAAAAAAACTTTGTTTAAAAAAACTAAAATTATTTAATATATAAAATATAAAAAATTCAACCAATTAAGAAAAAACTGCATAATAATATTGGTTACACAATATTCAATAAAAATAAAAATTACATAGAAATCTTACAAAATCTTATATTATAAAACAAAAAAATCTCTAAAACATCTTATATCAGGAAACCGAGGGGTAGTAGGTTTGAATCTTTATCTGCAAATGACAATAAGACTAGAAAATTGGAGAATTTGCTTACAATATCGTAATTTATTATACATTGACTATTTTTACAATACAAACTACATAACAACATTTTATGTTAAGTTAACAAAAAAAAACATTTTATGTTTGAGAATTTGCTTACAGTAGCGTAATTTATTATACATTGATGTATTTTTACAATATGTTTGAGAAAACACGGAAAGTAAACTAATATTACGTCCAATTCACAAATGAATGAGATCATTTGGCATTCAAAAGAATAGTAACTTTATTTAGTCCGATAGTAAAAACTCGGATTATCTCTAATTCTCAAAAAAGAAAAGAAATTGCTTTGTGTTTTTATTTCTGTATGGTAGACGAAGTAAAATATAATTTTGTTTGTTTGTTATAAATATAGATATTGTTTTGAATTTCCCATATCTAATATATATGCATATCTCATATACTATGTTATATGCATATTTCATACCTATTATGCTCAAATTTTTTACCTTATAAACAATTGAAACGAATCAAAAGTTTACAATTTTTTTGGATAGAATTGCATTTAATATAATCTTGAGAGGATGAGGTAAATTCACGCGTCTTGCTTGGTGTTTATATTTTCTTTCTCCTTTACTTCCCATGAAATCCGTGTATTCTT